GCTCCCAGCTGTGAACGGAGGAAGTCGCTCCGAATGGGGCGGCGAAGTGCTGAGCCACGTAGACGCATGTGCCCACGAGGAACGCGACCATGCGAGGGCGCGATGTTCCGGCAACAGCGGCACGCGCCGGAACGCGGCGTCTATGTCCGCCTTCCAGATCCCGGGCGCTTCGCCCACGCGCGTCACAAATGCCTTGCAAGTGCCAAACAGAGCGTCGATGGCTTCATGGCCGAGACGCTCCGTCGGCTGCGACGCCGCGTTGATACGAGAGCGCGACATATCATCTACGATCCGCAGCTTCTCGGACCCGTCCTCTCTCGACTGCCGGACGCCGAACCGCGGCGACAAAACCGCACCGTCGAGCTCGACCGCGCTGAGCGGCGCGGGATGGCTCATTCTGCCGAGCTCCGCTTCGGCGATAGTTTTGGTGAGAATCACGGCGGAGTCGCTAGACTCCTTGAGCGTGCCGAGCAGCGCGGCGTTGCCTCGCTCCGCGCCCGCGGCCAAGTCCGGCAGGCTGAGCGGTACAGGGAAAGCTTCCGGACGCCCGTTCCCCGTGCACGGGAGAGGGCCCACGAGAGGCGCGCCGCGCCGAAAGACTTCCACGCAGGCCGCGTCCTCGTAACCGATTTCGTCGAGCAGTTCGACGAGAAGAGGGCCGTTGATCGACCCTGCGATTGTGCGCACATGGGCATCGCAGCCCGCGACCAGGCCGCCGTCGCTCCAGAGGCGCGTAGCTCGGCGTCCCTGGCCCGAATTCGCTCGAGAGTCGCTCGCCGCTCACGGCACACCTGCCGCTCCGAGCGCGCAGCAATCCAATCGATCGCCGCCAAAACATCGCCGGGTACCACCACGGCCTTTTCAAAGGCCTCTTTGTCCTCGAAGGAGTGAGAACGGGAGAGGACCTCTTCAAGAAAGGCGAGCTTAGGCGCTTCCTCAGCAGACGCAGGCGACGGCAGGTGACAGCAGCCGGCAGTGGCCAGCGCGAAACCGCGTGCATTGCAACTCGAGGCAGCATTCTGCCGGGCGCGCGAGCCCGCGAGCGTCGCGCGCCACAACGCGCAGCGCCTGATAATCCCATGTGGCAGCGATACTGGGCCCCATCGCATCCTGCGCTTTGCGAGCGCGAGCGCTCGAGCCTGCCGGGGCGTTCGCGCGCCTCCTGGCCCAGCGGGCGGGCGGCCCTCGCGTCGCGAACGGACCGCGAGTGTTGACTGGCACCCAAGCCCTGGACGACGCGGCAACAACGCGGCGCCCTCCTGCCAGCGCGCGCGCGCGCGCCTGCGGGTCCCACGGGACGGTGGCTGAGGTTGGCGCCCATTTGTTGTTATTCAAGTGCCAACGTGGCGCGCGATGCACGTCCTCATTGGCGCGCGTCCCGCACATCGCCGCGCGCCGCGGGCTGCGCGTGCCTCCGGCGGGCGTCAGGCGCGCGGCTTCTTCTGAGGAGAATACACCGTTCGCGAATCCCAGGAGCGCTTGTTGTAATCCCCGCGATAGGATCGGGACTGCCACCCGTCGGCTCTGGAATCGCGGTCGTTCTTCCAGGAGTGACGGCGGCGCCCCCCGCGGCTCCCACGGCGCCCGCGGCGCTCGCGGCGCTCGCACTCTGCCCGCGCGCTGCCGCGGCGCTTTTCCCTGCACCCTTGCCGGCCGGCGCGGCAACCTGCGCGGCAGCGGTGGCGCAACGCGAACAAGGGATTCGGCGACGTGGCCTTAAGAGCCCGAGCGTATTCCGCTTCCGCCGCGCGGAGCAGCCCGACGTCAAGCGACAGCGCCGCAACGTTCACCTGCGCGCCGACGCGCGCCCGAGAATAACGCGCCGAAGCATGGCGAGGAGCTGCGGCCTGGAAGCCTGCCGCGCCGGCGGCGGCACGCTCGGCCCACGTCCTCCGCACAAGGCGGTCGTAGACCAAGGCAACCTGGCCTTCCGTCCCTGCAGGGGGGCATCCAGTGCAACCTGGGCAAGCGCGCCCACTTCGGCTAACCAACAACAGCACAAACACACAAAAAATGGGCAGCACCAAAACGAAAAAGAAAGCACAAAACAACACCACAAAACACACAACAACACAAAAAAAAAAGCAAAAAAAAAAAGAACCACATAATATCAAAGCACAAGCGGACAGGAGGCGCCAATGTCGACTCGCCTGGAGAACAACGTGTTTGTGAGCCATGGCGCTCGTGTACGAAATCTGATCAGTGACCGCGGCCGCACGCTCCACGCGTCGTAAGCTTGGTGCCATGGCGTCCACGCCAGAAGCGGCTGGCTCTCCGCCGCGGTTCCCCGTCCGAACGCTCTGGCCAACGCGGCCGCCTCTTTCGACTCGGGCTCGTCATCGTCGTGAGAGCCGCCCGCGCCGCGCGCGCAAAGCGGCTGGAACTTCGCGAGCTCAGTATAAATGAACGGGCGCGCGATTCCCCTGGATTTCGCGCGCTGCACCTCGGTGGCCAGCGCATCGGTCTTCGCTGACCTGAGCGAACGATGGAAACGCGCCAGCGCGCCGGGGCGAAGCCGCGCGGCCGCCTCGGCCACAGGGACTCCGGAAGGTCCCTCAAGCTGATCTGGGCCAGGCCAGCGCCGATGTCGACATGCTCTCCCTTCGGCGGGAGCCCAGGATTCTGCAGCAACCGAACCGAAACGACCCGCCGAAGCCGGCGCGGGCCCCGCGGCACCCGGCGAACTCGCCTTGGCTGCCGCCACCGTCGCGCGATCCAGAGCGCGCCGCAGGACGCCCTTCGTCAGCGCCGTCGCGCCATCGGCATCCTTCAAATCGCCGAATTGAAGATTGGCCAATTCTTCTGGCATCGTCAGCCCATTGGCTGCCAGGCAATCAATTGCGCCCTTGAACTGGATATCAGTCCACTTCGCGCCCACAACAGGGTCAGACTGCAAGAAGGCAAGCATCGCCATCGCAATCACAGCGCCACGGGGCACGAGCGAGAACCACGCCAGCTGAAGCCCGCTCGCTTGCATGCCAGCGCGCCATGGTGACGAATGAGAGCGTGCCAACGACAGCTCGTGGTCACTATCGACCAGAAGAGAGGGCCCCATTGGGCACGTGAACGCAGCAGGCCGCTATGGGCCGCAACGAAGCCACTATGGGCCGCAAGGAAGCCACTATGGGCCGAGCGAAGCCCCCAGAGGGCGGAGGGCCGAAACCCGACACACGGCACGGTATTTATATCCCGCCCCAGTGCCAGGCGGAGGAAGCGCGGCACGGCACTGCACCACACGATGCGAGCGGGAGGCGGAAGAGGGTCGACCAGCGCGCGGCCGACCAGCCGAGCGAGGGCGCCCCCGCGGCCAGCCGCGGGGTCGTTCACAGCGCGGGCGGATTTGTGCCAAGCAATAACTTCGTTATTCCGACCCCAAAAACGGCAAGGTCCAAGAGGGCCCCGAGTCGCCAATCAATCGATCCCAGACGCCCAAGATGGCCGCGAGACGGCCGAAAAGCACCGCCCAAGACTTCCCGAGAAGCCTCCAAGAGCCTTCCCAGGAGGGCCACGAGAGGCCAAAATCAGGGATTTCCTAGAAAGTTTCCCATGTCTTTTGGACTCTCCACTTTGCGAGCTTCCGACGCTCCAAGACGTCCCAAGAGGCCCCCAAAACGCCCCAAGGTGGCCCGAGGCCCTGGAGAAAACCCCCCCAAGTCGGCCCAAAAGGGCTCCAAGACGGCCCAAGAGGCGCCCAGGCCGGCCCAAGAGGGCCCCAAGACGGCCCCAAGACGGCCCCAAGAGGGGCCCAAACGAGGGAACACGAACCGAAAATCCGAGCATTCCACCCCAAGAGGCACCTAGGAGGCCCCCAAGAGGCCCCAACAGGCCCCAAGGGGCCCCCAGGAGGCCTCCACAAGGCCACAAAACGGCCCCCAAGAAGCTTCCAAACGGCCCCTAAGAGGCCTCCCACGAAATCCCAGCGAACATCCTACAGGCCTATCACCCAGACCCAGGCACGGTGGCGGCATGGGCCGAAGGCCATGAGATCCGCCGCCCCCTGCTTGCAGGGGTGCACGGCGTGCTGGACGATTCAGGTTTTGGTTTTGGTTCTTTTTCTAAAAGAACTCCCCAGTGGGCTTCGGCCCGTCCCGCCGGCCACCCGTAAATCTCATAAAACCCATCTGTCAATGCCCAAAAACGGCCGTTTCGCTCGGGACATCCTCAAAAATCGCGAAGATGGCCCAAGATGGCCTCCAAGTCCGCCCGAGATGGTCCAAGACGGCCTCCAAAACGGCCCAAGAGAGTCCAAGACGGCCCAAGACGGCCCAAGAGGCCCCCCAGAGGCCTCCCAGACGGCCCAAGAGGCCTCCAAGAGGTCCTCCAGGAGAGTCCGAAGAGGCCAAAATCATTGATTTGTCCTTGGTTTTTTGAAGGATTTTGGCATTTGCGCCTTTTCGGCTCTCCGACGGCTCAAGACGGCCCAAGAAGCCCCCAAGATCGCCCACAGGGTCAGAGGGCCCCCCCCCAAGACGCGGCCCCATGACGCCCATGGGGCCCAAAGCGGCCCCCAAGATGGCCCCTAGAGGGCCCCAAGAGGGCCCAAGAGAGGCCTCAAACACGCCCCAAGATGGCCGCCAAGGACGCACCAGATGGCCTCCAACGACGGCATTGGGATCATTCCAAGCGGGCCCAAGTCGGCCCATGGAGGCCCCCCACAAAAACGACTTGAGTAACGCTTCAGACGTTCCAGGCAACACCCCACCAAGATGGCCCCGGACGTTCCAAATGTCGCCAAGATTGGGCCGCGAGCCGGGCCCCAGAAGAAAGCCCCCACATGATCGCTCCACCCCCCCCCCCCCCCAAAAGCTTGCCCAAGAGGCCTCCAAGACGGCCAAGATGACCTTCAAGATGCCCACGTGTTCCCCGACGGCTTCCCAAACCGATTCGGGGAACACGTGGTCCGATAGCTTGGCAGGTCTGGCCTCAACGTTCGGCCACATAGGCGCTTCCAAAAAGGCAGGGGGCGGCGGTGATTCGCCGTAGGCGTCTTCGATAACGACCTCAGCAAGGACGGAACCAACGCCGCTTCCGTCTACAGAGGTACCCTTGGAGAGTGCCGTCTCGACGTCGTCGACGGCGACGCCCTTGCCGACCTCGGCTGCAACGGCCTTGGCGATGTTGGTGCGAACAGCGGATAGCATTGCCGTGTCCGCCATCAATTTGTCGTAGTCCAAGCCGTCTGTCTCCAGGGCAAAGTGGCAGACCTGGTCACTGATCGTCGTAGAGGAGTCCGCCCCGAACACACCGACTGTTGCCGGTGCCAGCTGCCATGCCGCAATCACGATTTTCAATAATGAGGAAGGCCGACGCCGCATCTGCCTCATCTATTACTGACTGATCGCGCTGCTGGAACATTCAAATCGCCAAGGCATTCAAGTGGCTCCGCGTCAAGACAGGCCTGGCGCAGACACGGCTGCACTAGCCAAAACGGCTGCGGAAAGAAGACTGCAGCCAGAGAGCGTGGGCTTGAGCTCGCTCAAGCTTCGCTCTGTCGGGGGGGGGCTGACGACGCCGACGCCGAGGCCGACGACGACGACGACCCAGACGACGCCGACGCCGACGCCATTCAGGCCCGGGAGGGAGGACGGGGGGAGGGGGCGGACGTCATTCAGGCCCGGGAGAGAGGAGGGGGGGTTGTGCTGACGCATTCAGGCCCGGGAGGAGAGGAGGGGGGGGGGAGGCTGACGCCATTCAGGCCCAGGAGGGAAGAGAGGGGGGGGGCTCGCTCTGTCGTGGTGGTGGGGCGGGGTGACGCCATTCAGGCCCGGCCGGGAGGAGGGGGAGGGGGCTGACGCCATTCAGGACCGGGAGGACGGAGGGGGGAAGAGGCTGACGCCATTCAGGCCCAGGAGGGAAGAGGGGGTGAGGGGGGAACTGACGCCAGTCAGGCCCGGGAGAGGGGGGCCCGCTCTGTCGTGTGGGGGGGGGGGGGGGGGGGCTGACGTCATTCATGCCTGGGAGGAGGGGGAAAGTGCGGGGGGGGGCCTGACGCCATTGAGGCCCGGGAGGGAGGGGAGGGGGGGTTCGCTCTGTCGGGGAGGGGGGGAAGGGCTGACGCCATTCAGGCCCGGGAGGGAGAAGGAAGGGCGTCACGCCTGGATACGCGGGGGGAAGGAGGCACCCGGGCGGCTCCCTTCGGGGGGGGGGGCTGACGCCATTCAGGCCCGGGAGGGAGGAGGGGGGGAGGGGGCTGACGCCATTCAGGCCTGGGAGGGAGGAGGATGGGGGGGAGCTAACACCATTACCTAGAAGACAAGGCGTCGTAACCAATCACGCGCCTGGCTCGTTGCGTGTACATGCGTAATGTTGAGCCAATTCTGTACGAGAGGGGTGCAAGGTTTTGATTTGGCTGCGCGAAATTTGATTGCGACGTGTGGTTTGGTGATGATTTGGTTATGAAAAATGTAGAATTTGGTTACGGTTTGGTTACACTGTATCAAATTTGGCTACGGTTTGGTTACGCGCCTGTCTGCCTACGATGTGGTTATGAGTTGGTTACGATTGGGCCAACTGGGGTCCGTCATGGAAACGGACGAAGAGCCCAAATGCTGCCTGGGGGGGGTTCCGCGGGACGCGGACAGGCGACTGCGCCCCTCTGCAAGGGCCCATGCAAAGGCCACGCAGAGGCCCCCATGCGGAGACCCTGCAGAGCCCTTGCAAAGACCTTGTCATACCCTGCGACGCTCCCTGCAAAGACCCTGCAATACACCAGGGGGTCCCCAGAGGCCCTCCCCCTAGAGGCCGAAAGGAAGCCCCTGAATAGGCCCCCGGACGGCTCCCAAGAGGCCAGCAAACTGCATCCGACAGGCCCCCCCAGAGGCCTCCCATGGTATCCCATGATATCCCAGGAGGAGGAGGAGGAGGAGGAGAACGAGGAGAAGAAGGGCGAGGAGGAGGAGGAACGGGGAGGAAAAAGGAAGATGATGATGAGGAGGGGGAGGACGAGGAAGACGGAAGACTGCAGGAAGACGAGGATGAAGAGGAGGAGGAGAACGAGGACGAGGAAGACGGAAGACTGCAGGAGGACGAGGAAAAGGAGGAGGAGGAGGACTCCTCCCTCTCCTTGTTCATGAGTTGTTATTACTGTTTGTTCGGGGGGGACGTTCAGCCATCTCTTGCAACATCTCGGGCCATCCAAGGCCCATCGGGGGCGAGTAATTAAGCGATACAACGAACATCTGCCTGACAGGCACACTGCGTGCCCATTGATTTCGCAACGTCAGGGGCGTATGTTGGAGGATCCGTGGCCACGCTAAGCCAAAACTTGGGGCTGTTCTTGAGTCCTCTAGCCAGCACTATGGAAACCACAGTGTACCAGCTTGGACAGACTCCGTCCTGCTTCGCCCGCCCCCTTCTTCAGCCCCATCGGCCTTGTCTAACATGGTCGTTTGGATATATTTCCGGTTCGGTTATGATTGGGTTATGATATGGTTATGATTTGGTTACGAGGTGGTTATGATTTGGTTACGATGTATGTAAGTGTGCTGTGATTTGGTTACGAAGATTGAAAGTATGGTTACGTTTTGGTTATGCGAGCACCGTTCCAGAGTGTTCAATGCATTTTGATAGCTCAAGTGTGTGCGGGGTCGCCCTCAATCATATTCTTCGCGTTTTGGTTACGCGCAACCCTTTCGAGCGTAACCAAATGATTTGGTTATGAGCACGAGGGTTCAGGCCCAGGAGGGAGGAGGGGAGGGGGGGCTTCGTTCTGTCGGGGGGGGGGCTGACGCCATTCAGGCCCGGGAAGGAGGAGGGAGGGGGGGAACTGACGCCAGTCAGGCCCGGGAGGGAGGAGGGGGGGGGCTTCGCTCTGTCGAAGGCGGGAGGGGAAGGTGCGGAAACTCTGGAGTGGATACGCGCGCCGCATGTCGAGATGGAGAAGCCGAGCCAGCCGATCGTGGAGCTGGTTCACGACGTGGCCAAGCTGATCCCGGTGAAGTGGTTCGACGATGCCAACAGCCTAGTAAGCCACCTCCTGGCGGAAGTTAGGCAGGTCGCCGATCGTCGAGTTCGAGTGGTCATAGCTGCGCTACGAGAGCTACTTAGCCGAAATGGGGTCGACCTGGAGTGGTTCGACACGAGTGTGCAGCTGGTCGATGCGCTGACCAAACTCGAGGCCGAGAGAAGCTACCTCACGGACGAGATGGAGATAGGTTTCGCGACGCTGAAGGTTTCCGACGAGACGGCCGCGTCCAAGGAGGCCATCCGTGCCGCGCGGCACCGCCGTGCAGATGAGCGTAGGAGTCAGGCCACTGCCCGAGCAGATGACTAGCCGTTTTCATATTCAGCCCCTTTTCGGGCTGTTCGCCGCTCTATGAAGATGTGTTTGTCGCCGCATTTCGGTGACAGCGAGGACGGGCGCTGAAATCGTAAAGCGACACTGTCACCACGTTTCGTTACTGCTGCTGCCGTCATCTGTCTCGCCGCTGACGTTTCGACTCGAAGAGCTCTTGAGAATACGGGCAACCGACTTTCATATCCGAACGGGCGGCAGCCCGCCAGTTGATCCTCCTCCCCCTCCTCCCCCTCCTCCTCCTCCTCCTCCTCCTTCCTCCTCCTCCTCCTCTCTTCCTTCCTCCCCTCCTCCTCCCCTCCTCCTCCTCCTCCTCCTCCTCCCCCTCCCCCTCCCCCCCCCCTCCCCTCCCCCTCACCCTCCCCTCCCCCTCCCGCCCCTCCCCCTCCTCCCCCCTCCTCCTCCTCTCCTTCTCCTCCCCCTCCTCCTCCTCCTCCGCTCCTCCTCCCTCCTCCTCTCTCCTCCTCCTCCTCCTCCTCCTCCTCCTCCTCCTCCTCGTCCTCCTCGTCTCCTCCTCCTCCTCCCTCCTCCTCCTCCTCCTCCTCCTCCTCCTCCTCCTCCCGCGCAGCTACTCCCCAGGCATATCCCGGGGCGATGCGAATCCAGCGGGGGCGACGAGGGCTACCCAGGAGGCCCAAAGAAGGGAAAACGAGGAATGGGCACAGATATGGTGAGGAAGCAATTCCTGGGAGGTCTTCGTCGCAACGATCTATGGCGATTGAGCCCGAATAAGAGCAATTGCGCCAGATTAAGCCAAATGAAGCCCGGGATTATACCAGATTGAACACGATTGAGCGGGATCAAGCTGGAGAAGCCGGATGAAGCCAGAATGGCCGAGATTCAGCAGGTGATCGACTGCAAAAATACCAGCGACGATACAGAATTGAACCTCCGAGCTGCACCCCCAAGGATGGCTACATTTTCTCGTCTGAGCAGAAGGGCGGGCACGGACCCACCAGGGGCTTGTCACAAGCTACGCTTGGCAGGAGGAAAGGAGGCGAAACGGTCTTCCTCCGCGCAGGATGCAGTGAAAGGCATGCTGCCCCTCTTTCGCTTGAGCGCTTCCAACATTGGAACCAACTGACGTCACTAAAAACTTGCTTCTGCAGCCGATGCATATTCGCTGCGATCTTCTGGAAATGCCGACAACTGGCGCAAGGCAGCGTGGTGAACACATGCCTCCGAAGGCATCGCCGCCTCCGCGTGATCATTTTCTCCCAACAACCCTCCAACAACGAACCCAATATTCCCAAGGTCTTTGACGTTCAAATTCAAACGCGGGAAGCCGCTCAGGGTGCGCCCATGAGCGATCTTCAATTGTACCTTCCCAAATTTGACCCACTTTGGGGATCCGTCGTCGACACTTTGGACGTTGAAACAGAGACTGTCGACCCCTGTCGCCGCAACCCACGCACCCGTGATGTTCAATTCTTGGAAATACATGTCTGCGCATAGCCCGCCCATGCGGACCGCTTTGGTCTGCACGTTAAGCAATGCGCTTCTCTGCCTTCCACGAGGGATGTTTATCAGAACATGGTTGCCTGGTTTCATCAAGTCGAATCGCTGACCGAAAACGTTTGCCAAGTGAGGGTCGTCAGTGGCAGACACCCCTCCTGCTCCGCCCGCACCGTGAATACCTGCAGGGAAAGTCGGTTGCGGCGTCGGCCAACCTGGAAGAGAAATCGGGCTGGGCGTCGGTCTCGGCGTCGGGCTGGGCGTCGGGCTCGGGGTCGGGCTTGGCGTCGGGCTTGGCGTCGGGCTTGGCGTCGGGCTCGGCGTCGGGCTTGGCGTCGGGCTGGCAGTCGGGTAGGGCATCGGGTAGGGCGTCGGGCAAGGCGTGGGGCTGGCAGTCGGGTAGGGCGTCGGGTAGGGCGTCGGGCAAGGCGTCGCGGGGCTGGCTCCGAAGATGTACATGGCGACATCTGTCAATTTAGCATGATCGTTGCATAAAGACCCGCCATTGATGCATCGCTGCCCGCCAGGGCCATTCCAGCAATCGTTGCCTCAATATCCAATGAAATAACGGCAGCA